GATCTTGATCAAATCTGTTACACAGATAACATTAACAGTAATTAGGTTTGGACAAATAATATTGATATATTAATAATTAATAATCTAGGTTCGGACATTCTATAAATATTATTTAGCTAATTTAGGTATTTAATATCACTTGTCCTAATATAATCCTTTAATTCTTTGTAATTTTACATAGTGAGACATTAAGTGACTAATATATCTCTGACTTTTGATTTGTTTCCTTCAATTAGCTATTGAATTATACATGTATTTTAAAAGTTGATAACTTTTGTATTTTTTATCGATTTTACATATATAATATATCAAATTAATCATCTTTTGATGATCTTCGATTTGACATCCATATTGTATATATGAAATAAATAAATTATACTTATCTTTATAATAATAAAAAATAATAATATTTATTAAAATTCATTAGAAAAATAAAATTATTTCTCAATTGATATATTTATGCTTATGTAGTTATATGTTGTAAGTTAAAAAAAAATTATTATAATATAACACATGTAAGTCGCACAAATAAAAAGTGTAATACTAAATATATAATAATATATACATTTTTATAAAAAGTATTTAAATTTTCAACTACTTTTTCTCATTAATTTTAGATTTAAGGAAAAAATTAGCAAGCATCTGTATAATACACGGACGTTGTACTAGTATAGAGTGAATACAAAAAGATATATAGGTCAATAATATTATTTAAATTGTTTTGAGTAGGACATTTAGTGATGGAAATCCCGCATTTCATAATATAATTTATTTATTTGTCTTGAATGTACACGTCATTACTATTATTTTTATTAATATTAAACTTCAAATTAATATATTGAATGCAATGTATATGAAATACAATATTTTTTTATTAGATCAAGTTGTTCACACATTGATCGGTATTTTTTCACTTTTTAATTTTTTTTCTTACATATCACATCAACTTTAATTCACTATTTTTCGCTCGCATAATTTGAACTACCATCACATTCAATCACACCCTCCTATTTTTAGATCATATTAAGTTTAAATTTTATTTTAAATATTGTTTTGATAGAAACTCAAAATTTCACTCAAACCAAATTGTTCAATCAACCTTTTCAAAATTTAACCCTACATAACAAAAAAAA